TGCCAATTACCACTGGAATTACCACTGCTGGTTTGTGCCATAGTCGTTCAATTTCGATTTTTAAGTCCTGGCTGGGGAATTCTGGGAGTTGAAGTCCAGACATCTTCAAGTTGCCAAGGTTGAGAAACACTGCTTTAGACCTTGGGGGAAGGATGAATAGAATAGAATAGAATTCCCACCTGCAGGAGAGGTATGAAGGTGAGTCCCAGCTGCCTATTAATGGTTGTTTGGGATTTAATTGGAATTGTTTTTTTTTAAATTTGATTTCAAAGTAGCAATGTTAAAATTGAACAACCATATAAATTATATATAATCAAAAATAAATATATTTTATTCTGTTGCATGTAGATACGGAAATGTACTGCTCCTTTAGCCATGAATGCTTAAAACTAAGATGTACACGGAAATCAACTACACAAATTAGCACACTTAAAGTATCCTAAGCTTTTATAGTAATGTAGAAAAGCAAAGTCCGTAGGCCCAATTTCAGATATTATCTGATATGTTTGCTTTCATTATTGTGAGATGAGTATCTATTGATGAGTGTCCCTTTGGGGAAAAATATCACTATTTTCTTTATTTGTAGTTTTGTAAGTCAAGGCAGTAGGATGGTTTATTGAGCAAATGTAGCTGGATAATTACACGGGCACAAATGTCTGTCTCTTGCATTCTGAGTCTAGGGGTGATCTTGCAGATTGGAAGCTGACACCATTAATGTGCTAATGAAAAAATGATTTTTTCCTGTGTGAGTTTGTTTGTTTAAGGAGTTTGTAAAGCCCTCCAACTCATGGTTGCAACCCCAGGCGGCTGTTCTAGCGTTAAAACACGAAGCAAAAACAAACAGCAAGAGTAGAAACGATTGTCAAAGGACAGGTGAGCCAAATTGCACTCATCTTAGCCACAAACAAGTGCAGGCAAAGAGCATTACTGGAAGCCTACAGGGGCCGAAGCCACCAGAAGCTCAGGGGTGAAGGCCAGGCAGAACAGGTACCGTTATCCATAGAAAGTTAGAAACATGCTTCCTAGGGACAATGTCTAAACTATTTTTCTTTACAGCGCTATTGATAGTGGTAGTGCTAAGAGCCGANACTAAGGATTCTGAGTTTGAGTCCCTGGCTGTATGTTCATTGTTCACAATTCTGTGATCTTATTTGTAAAATAAATATGTGACTTTTTGTTTGTTTGTTTGTTAACTTTAAATAGCACAATTCGAATCAGCAGAAAAGGCTGGCACATGCTTCTCAACTTCTGTTTCCATTCTGCTCTCACTTTTGCTGTTTTTGCTGGTGGAATCAATCGTGTAAAATATCCAGTTATATGTCAAGCGGTGAGTGTACGCATTACTATACCATTACCAATATATTGTATGATAATTGAAACCGAAGATGTGAACTTGTGCATGTTGGTGACCTTAACATTCTTCCTTTGGATGGATGAATCTTATTTTCAAAACATTTAAAAAAAAACCTGAATAGATTATAGTCAGGAGCTTCTTGTAGGCATGGGAAACTTTCTGAAACAGTCTGAACAGTTTTTACTTGCAGATAAATCGTATTATTTCACTGAAACCTTTATGTAGAAATATAGTTCGTGTAGTATCTCAAGTCTACTTACTAATTTTCTTTCAATTGCTACATTATTTTATATAAGTTATTCTCCTTTCTTTCAAGTGATATTCTTGAGTATTTCTAAGCCCTTTTTGTGTATATTAGCATAACTTATATGCAGATAAAGAAATGTTTGAGCTTTCATTTAATGCAAGGCATGGGTTGGTTATCTTCTTTTTAAAAATAAACACTCTTGAACTAAATGAAGGAGCAAAATCAAAGCTTTGCTCTGTTGAAGCTTTGCTTTCATGGGAATTTTTTCAAGATTGTCTCTTCCTTCCTCTTAGTAAGCCCAAATGAGGATATAATTGAGTTAGGGTTGAAAACAGTTTTATTTGTCCAAATGGTACCGTAATTCTGGGGGGGGGGCAAAATATTGCATTGTTTATAACAGGTTGCTATGGCCAAAACCTAGCAACCAAATCACTCTGAAGATGCAACATAATTGTATTAGGATGCAGACAATAAAACAGTGTGTGCCCTTGTCTCCCAGCGTAGCATTTACAACTTGATGAGAAACTCTGAGTAAAAGCAGAACCACATCTTCTATACTGTTGACCTACTACTTTTAAAAGACAAGACAAAGAACGAGGCAGAAAGTGTAAATGACAGCGTAATATTGGGGTGTTTTAGGTAGGCCTGTCTAGATGGCCTCTTTGTTAGTACAGCAGCTAGACTATCTTTGAGATATGGTCCATGAGTGTTTACTACCATTTATCAAAGGGTAATTGAAATTACCAAAGTTACATCACCTTCATATTTAGAAAGGTTAATGCATCAAAACTATTTTTATCATTTGACTCGAGACATCATGACATAATATGAGATTCATAAAATTATGTGAAGTGTGAAAAATTGATAGAGATTTTTTTTTTGCCACAGTGAAACTGACAGGAAATAAATTATGACTGAGTTGGCACAATATTGAATATTGCAATATTGAATGTATTAATAGTGTGAGTTTCACTAGCTAAAGCTTCCTCCATGAATTTAGTGTTTAATGTTTAAACCATCTACAAGTCATGCTGATCCTGGAATTTACTGTAAACTTTGCTGGTAAAATGCCCACGAAATGTCAATTTGTGTAAAACAAAATTGAGAAAAACCTTTTCCTCGTGTCAAGATTTTAGGCTTCCCAATAGAATCAGGCTGCAGAATGTGGAATACATCCGACCAGAATGGATGGATCTTTTTGTGATCCACTAGGTCTCTTTTCATGTATTTATGTTGAAAATAATTATTAGGAAAACTGATAATTGTGTGCATCTGATTACCTCATCTAATTTGTGACGTTTAGAACTTGGTATAATTTTAATATTAAGCAACAAGAATGTGTTTTTCTTCGTTTATTAATTGAAACAATACAGCTAGAAAACAACTGGCCCAGATGTTTAAAGGCTGTAGAAAAATTACAATTGAAAGCTGGGAGATACTATGCTCTTTAGAACATTTCAAGTTCACAAAGAAGGAAAGTAAAATATATATTTAGGCAGGGGGGGGGAATGGATACAAAGGGATTTTCTTTGTCTTTATATTATCAGTAACTAGAACTGTGTTTGTTCATTATGGCTAAGTGCAGAGAAATTTGGGATAAAAGAAGAAAGCTGATGATGTGTCATTCATGTCCATATGGATGAGCAATGGATTACTTCTGAGAAACCTGCAACTCCAAAGGCTTATTTCCTGCTGAAAGTAAAGCAGAAAATAAACAGAAATGTTAGTATATGGGTTGAACATAATTTTAAGAAAACAACAGAATCCAGAAAAACATCCCAGTTCTATCATTCTCCATCTATTGCCTCCTTAGATCTTGGTAGCCACAATCACAAGGAAAACAAACCCCTGATGGTTAAGAACATCATCATTATTATTATACAATTGTATCACAGCGGCCAGTTGTTTCGCCGGATTTGGCATTGGTTACTAGTCGGGCCCCACCCAGGGGCCTAGG